TCCTACTCAGATATCCAACCATACAGGGATACAGGGGACACAAAGGATACTGGAGATACAGGAGGTATAGGGGATACAGGGGATACAGGGTATACAGGGTATATATAAGATACAAGGGGATACATGGGATACATGGGGATACAGGGGATACAGTGGCCAGGAGATATACAGAGGAAATGAGAGATGCAGTGGAAAGGAGAGATACAGAGGAAAGGAGATATACAGAGGAAAGGAGAGATACAAAGGAAAGGAGAGATACAGAGGAAAGGAGAGATACAGAAGGAGAGATACAGAGGGAAGGAGAGATGAATCAAAAATACATGTAGAAATGAAAGTAGAGATAAAAAAATTAATATATTTTCATTAAGATTTTCATTTGGCTTAACAAGATTTACAGAACAATTATACAACGGACTACGTGGAGTCATTATGCATACAATGAAACCTTACCGACCAAAGTTTTTATCATTCTGATGGTAAAATAATGAATATTTATATACATATATATAATATGCTGTGCATCTCAAGTAAAACAATGGTTAGTTTCACGGAAACCTTTCATGTCCGGTGTATAAAAAGAAATATATTTATTACCGATATTGATAAACTTACATAAACCTAAGCCTTCAGACGAACATAAGAAACACATTTTCGGGAATTATTAAAACGCAAATTTCTTTTGAACAAAAAAATTATTTTTTCAGTTGACTTGGGTCTCAGTTTATAAAGTTTGCAGGCTATAGAAAGTGTAAAAAATAAACAAACATTATCCTAAACCCGGTTTTATTTATTCAAACTGTCTTAAGTTTCCAACTCTGAGTATCAGTGTCTCAAAACCTACACTTGTCAGTATCATCTTGCAGCAAAGCAAAATATTTCTAAGAAAACTTGCAAATTTTCAAGATATTGCAAAATTCTCCCAATATTGGGTTTGCAAAATTACACCTCTTTGTTCCGCAAAAGTGCAGAAAAAAGGTTTACTAGAATTTTTTATTCCTTAAAAAGTGGAAGTCATAATTTGGATGAAATTTATTTGTTAGACAACCCGTACATTTTTCTCGAATATTCACAATAATAAAATGTCAGGGATATCTCACAATTCTTACTTGACATGTCTCAGTGTTTGTAAAAATTGTGGATAGAATTGCCTCAAATGTTATGAATTCACAACAAATGTTCTCATATTCTAACAAAATTTTCGTAATTTTAAATAGCTTTTGGCCATTTAAAGTTTCTTACAGTTCAAATATGGATTAAATTAATCCTCTCAAAAAACGAGCAGTAATCCAGCTCAAAAATCGATGAAAAGTTTGCCATTACTTTTTGAAAACAAGCTACACAAGTGCTCTATGGGACGGTGAAAAAGTAAAAGCGTGGTTAAGACGTTGCGACACTATAAAGTCAACCAAGTCTTAAATATCAAACTATCAAACTGCCAAACTGTAACAAGGAAAGGAGTTGGTTGTAAAATTGAAAAATGTTATGTGTTAGAATTGATCAAAACTATCGTCAAAATTTGACTGGATGAATCCGTCAATACAGTTGAAACATTTTGCATTTCTAACTAATGAACGTTTGCACTTAGCACAGGAAACTGTAAACTGGAGTTTTAACTTTGTGATATGCATCTGGTTTCATTTTATCAGAATATCCCAAACATCTGATTTAATTTGGTCAGATTATCCCATACATCTGATTTCTATTGATCAGAATATCCCATACATCTGATTTCATTTTATCAGATACCCCCTGCATCTGGTTTCATTTTACAGATTATTCCATACATCTGATTTCATTTGATCAGATATCCCCTGCATCTGGTTTCATTTGATCAGAATATCCCATACATCTGGTTTCATTTGATCAGAATATTTCCTACATCTGGTTTCATTAAATCAGAATATCCCCTTCATCTGGTTTCATTTGATCAGAATATTTCCTACATCTGGTTTTATTTCATCAGAATATCCCCTTCATCTGGTTTCATTTGATCAGATTATTCCATTTATTTGGTTTGATTTGAACAGAATAAAGCATACATCGGTGTCCGAAAGTTCAACTCTAGCTTTCCAAAGCAGGACCTAGATCTTTGCAGAGACGCTTCTAACAGTAACTAGGAGTACAGGGAGAAACTTAATGTATGAAGGAAAATTGATGAGGAAAACAAGATAATCAGCAAGGAATGCCCGCATTCATCTGTCAACGCTGTATTACCCTGGAGAACAGAGGGTTTTTTACCTCTCTGGGTATAGGTTTGCTATGGAAAAGCTCGACTTGCACTCCTTAGAAGTTGGTCTGGTTAGCCAGTTTTTAAGTAAAACCTACAACCCATGGGAAACATGTTAATATCCATCAACCACGGATCTTCCTAATGTGGAGAAGCATCAAGTACAAGTATAATTTACAAGTACTGCCCAAGATGTTCTTACACATCAGTTTCAAGAGTTTATGAGTAAAGATTCTGACATTGGGTCCTTTAAATTTTCAAAATTCCACGTTTGGTGCAGTGTTCCTTTTTCTTTCCTTGCCCTTCAACAGAGCTAGGAAACATTTATTGTGTATAGATCTATATTTAGTATAGTTATCAACATTCAACAATCTACAAACCTGCTCAGATAGCAAATTCCATAAAAATTGCAAGAATTATTATTTCACTATTATTATTGTTCATGGGTTCAACTTCAGTGTCAGCAGCTGAGATATTGAATTTAGAAACATATAATGAGCTAGCTAAACTTCCTTGCAACAAACCAGAAATATCAGACAGATTAAAAAAGAAGCAGAGATCTGTCCAACTGTGTATTAATTTATTTATCCAACTATATATTTATGTATTTATTTAACACAACTATATGCATCAGTTTCTTTTTTATCCAACTGTATATTAATTTATTTATCCAACTATATATTTATGTATTTATTTAATACAACTATATATATCAGTTTCTCTTTATATCCAACTGTATATTAATTTATTTATCCAACTATATATTTATGTATTTATTTAACACAACTATATATATCAGTTTCTCTTTCTATTAAACTGTATATTGATTTATTTATCCAACTATATATTTATGTATTTATTTAACACAACATATATATATCAGTTTCTCTATCTAACTGTATATTAATTTATCTATCCAACTATCTATTAATCTATCTTTCGACATATCTATCAGTTTCTCTATCTATCAAACTGTATATTAATTTTATCTATCCAATTATTAACCTAGCTATCTATTTATTTATTTATCAATCTATCCAACTGTTATTAATATATATATATATATATCCACACTACAAACTAGACAGGAGGAGATGGTCAAATTTAAGAGATATTGCTGGTACGAACATAGCTCCTCTACTTCCAAGTTTACGTGCAAAGTATGATAAAACAAAATTGATCTGATTACATGTTAGAAATTCAGAACAATTTTGTTCTTTTCACCAGCTCTTCAGTTAGAAAAGTTATGCTTAAAAACATGTAATATTTCAATGTTGCGTTTAATTTACTTTTGTTTGGCGTTTCCAACTATCTATTAATTTATCTATCTATCCAACTATAAATTTATTAATCTATCTATCCAAACTATCTCTTTATCTTTCTATCCATCAAACTTGCTTTTTATCTATCTATCTATCTGACTGTTTATCCCAATATTGATCCTATAGCTAGTTAAGCACGCAATACTAACAGATTAGCTGGAAAATAAATGAAAATATAATTTCATAAATATTACAGTCAAATTAGATAAAAAATAACAAAATATATGTCCTACGTAAAAACCAATATTTTTCTTTTAATACGCATCAAAAAATTACATTACAACAATATCAAATAAATTGTTGAGCGAAAGGCATTTTGCAATGCAATGCTTGTGCAGTTTGCGCGCACTGCAAGGAATGTTCTAATCGAATGTAACCAGATGCAAGAAATATTCTGATCAAATGAAACCAGATGTGTGGGATATTCTGATCAAATGAAACCAGATGTGTGAAATATTCTGATCAAATGAAACCAGATGTAGGATATATTCTGATCAAATGAAACCAGATGTGTGAAATATTCTGATCAAATGAAACCAGATGTAGGAAATATTCTGATCAAATGAAACCAGATGTAGGAAATATTCTGATTAAATGAAACCATATGTATGGGATATTACATTTTATTTGATCAGAAAAATGACAGATAGATAGAAAATAGATTGGAGAAATAGAGGGAGAGATGGATAGACCAATATACAGAAACTTTTAGTTTGATAGACGAATAGATTCAAAAGATTATGGACGGATAGACAACTATTGATTTGGCAATGACAGACAAATGAATTGACAAATTGAAGGTATTATATATGTAGAAACTATCAACAGACAAATAGTAAAAAAGACATTACCGTGATGTGATATTTGTTGTTTACCCTCTGATTAATTCCAGGAAAGGAATTGAGTCCTTGCAACAAACTCAAATTTTCTAATTCCTATATCTTTGCTACCTGACTGTGTATATCTTTGATATTTCAAACTTACCTTTGGTATAGCTTAATTCACAGTTTGAAATGTCTAATGTCTACGATATTGGGCTGCAAAGATATAGGAACTAGAAAATCAGAGTTTGTGGCAAAGACTTAATTAATTTGATTAAGAAATTTTATCAGTCGACTTTAAATTCCCTCCACTGGCTCCAAGGATAAAATGGTAAAATACTTGAGATTGAAATTCTATCATTCGGGTAAAAATCTTAAGTCCGGAGTGAGAAATTGAGACATTTAAATTCTTATAAAATATATCGTTTTTCTGTCCTCTCTATGTATTCCAGTATTTTAATCCTATCTTGGCTTATTTACCAAAGAACATATGAATCTTTTTTTCTAGATAAGATTCTGAATATTTGATAGATTTAAAGCCCTAAAAAAGATGAACTTTGTTATTAAAAATAAGCATTGATCTCAAAACATCTTTTTAAAAATATATCTAGAAAAAAAAAATAAATAAGATATTTTTATCACATATTTATTTATGATCACTGTAAGCGTGTAGATATAGAACAGAAATACGTTTAGAACATTCATGATTCAAGACGTACATATACAAACACGGGGTTTAAACTGCATTACACTTTACAGTACAGTTAGTACAACGGTTTACAATTGTGTACACACATAAGTAGATGTAAGTGTTATATGACTAGTATATGGCTTTAAAAAGAAAAAAATTAGCATTATGTGTAAGTGAGAATGCCATTACTAGTCGTACAAAACTGGAAAACAATAAATGTTTAAAATGCAGGAACAATTGACACAGCAGAGGGATTCAAAATTATAAGATGGTCAAATTAATTTCTTGGTTGATTAAAAAATAAGAAATTTGGATAAAAGCTCTGGAATGCATTGATTTAACAGTTTATAATAATTATATATATTTATAAATCTATCAGAAGAAATGACACGTGTTCACTCGTGTTCTTTGCATTGGGAACTAAGCAGTGAGCAAATTTAACAATAATAATAATAATAATGGTCGGACGGTTAGATCGCAGTATAGAAAAGGGTTTAAAGATTTAACGATGTAAAAAATAAACGTTGAGTTTGAAATTAAAGCTGACAACACATCAAAAACTTGATCTTTAATAAGTAAGAAAGATAGATTTAAAGATTTAAAGAGCACATTTTACATTTTACATTATACAATTATATTAAACAAATAATCAGATAAAGATATGTTTTTGAATAAATTTGTTCAACCAGTTTAGTTAGATTTCTGACTAATAGATTGCATTGATTGATTGATTTAAGTTCAATCTGTGGATTGTTTTCTTAAGAAAAAATAATTAATTTCAAATTCAATGATAACTCAGTGATGGCACATACATAAATGATTTCTCTTCAAAATATCCAGTTTTAATTTTGTTCCTTACTAGAGCTGAACATTCTAATTTGTTTTGCATTGATCGTGTCAAAAAATTATTCGAATGATCCTATCAAGGATCCTTACTGGATTCTATACCTGGAGCCATAATGCCTAGAACCAGAAACCATAGTCTATAAAAATACTGTTCCTATGCCATACAACCCAAGGAAGAGGGGGGATCGGTATTCATCTAACAATATTTCAAGAACTGGCTTTCAAATGTGTGAAGTCCAACTTGATTATTCCTTCCAAATTGAATAATTATTACAACAATGATATTTGCATGGCATACAAATAGTAAATCCTTCACGGTATTAAAACATTCTTTTAAAATTATATTCATAGAACATCGCCATCTTCTACCTGAAGGTATCAATTTGTTAAATAAACAGAACCTACCAAGATATAAGGAAGGTTCTGAGATTTAAAAGAATATGATCCATCAAGAAATACTGAGGCTATGTTATTCTTTAAATATAAACATGTTCCTGCTTTATACCATGAAGGCAGTGATCATATACATTGTATACAACATAGAGACACTTGGGGGTGTTTGAAGAGAACTTTTGAAGGATAAAATAGAAGTTTTGATGGACAGGAAGAAGTTTTAAAGGTTAGAAAGAAGATTTGATGGATAGGAAGGAGTAGGAAGGGGATTTAAAGAATAGGAAAGATATTTGAAGAATAGGAAGGATATTTGAAGAATAGGAAGGAGATTTGAAGAATAGGAAGGATATTTAAAGAATAGGGAGGAGATTTGAAGAATAGGAAGAAGATTTGAAGAATAGGAAGAAGATTTGAAGAATAGGAAGGAGATTTGAAAGATAGGAAGAGATTTGATGGATTAGGTGGAGGTTTGAAGGATAGGAATAAGATTTAAAGAGATATTAAGAATAAGAAGGAGATTTGAAGGATAGGAATAAGATTAAAAGAATATGAAGGAGATTTGAAGAATAAGATAGATTTGAAGGATAGGAAGGAATTTGAAAGATAGGAAGGAGACTTGAAGGATAGGTGTACAATACGGTGAAGTACAACAATAGGACACAGTACAATCAGAGTATACAATTAGAATTGTGGTAGAAGAGGGTTTAAGTGTGATTTAGAGATTTTTTCTGAGAATGTTCTTGGTTCTTTAACTCAGGTTCGGAAAAATGATTAAATTTCTAATCAAAGTTGAGTTCAAATGATTACCAAGAGAGTTGTTTTATCCTATACAAGTTGTTTAAACCACGGAACTGAAGTTGAATATTTTCTTCTTTCTCCTGCCTCACCTCATATCCTTAAACACTCATACAGACTCCGGTTCAACTTGTTTCGGAGTATTTTCCAATAGCACTGCAATACTATTCCCCAGAGAACAGTTTTTCCCTCCCTACGGAGTTGTCTGGTTCTGCCATCTGTTGGACGCTACTCATGATATCCCTCGGATTTAGAAACAATGTTACAGAACACAAATCCAACAAATCGATATTTAGTTTAATTTTGATGTAAAACTCATTTCTCCGTCTCCTTGTTAGTTTCAATGATTTTTAGTTCCACAATATCAAGATGTTTCCTAATATAATCCTCCTGAGGCGCTAAATTGTGCGCTTTCTGTAAACAGGTTCTAGCCTTTCCCAGCTGACCGCGCTCAACCATAACGACACAAAGGTTGTGTAACCCTTGCACGTTCTCCGGGTCCACTGCTAAGATCTTCCTGTAGCAACCCTCAGCAGCGTCTAGATCCCTCAGATGGTTTATATAAATATCTCCGAGGAGAATCAAACCTTTAGTGTGGTTGGGGTGATGTTTAATAAGTTGATGAAGGAATGGAGCCGCCTCTAGAGGTCGGTCAGAATCTGATAGAAGAAGAGCAAGGTTGAACAAAGCGCTTCTAAAATCATTCTTCAACTCTATCGCTTTTCTAAACCAGTACTCGGAGGTTTCCAGGTTTCCTCCGTCCATTGAAAGCATTCCAAGATTAAAGTAAACTCTCTCGTTGACCTGCCCTTTCTCCACTATCTTGTTTAATCTATCGACGGCTAGTTGTCGGAGCTGGGAGCTACCACTCTCCTGGATTAACATGGCGGAGTTGAGAAGAGCCTGGCTATGATCAGGATCAAACTCTAAAGCCTTGTTGAGATATGCTAGAGCCTGTCCGTGTCTTCCCTGCTCTATGAGAACTACACCAAGGTTGTAGTATATATCAGGATTTGTGTTATCATAGAACAATGCTCTTTCATACACCTCCTGGGCTTCCTTGGTTCGGTTTAGTTTAAGAAGAATATCTCCTCTGTTTATGTAGGCCTGAGTGTAATCTGATCTCATAGATATTGCTTGCCTGTAAAGCAGGTCAGCTTCTTCAAGCCTTGATCCGTTCTTAGAAATCAAGGTTGCAAGACTTAAAAATACATTTAAATGATTCGGCGCTACACGTGCTTGATACGATTCTCCGGGTTTAGGTTTTGGTAACAAGGATTTAGCTTTTAAATACGCTTCCTCAGCTTCATTGAACCTCGCCATGTGATTGTAGGTTCGTCCGACGTTAATATGTGCACCAATATCGTCCGGCTGGACGTTTACAGCTGCGTGAAAATAGTTCAGAGCCTCCTCGTATCGTCCCTTGGATTCTAGAGCATGTCCCACGTTGTTGAAGAGCTTAGCGTTCCCAGCATTTACTCTAAGTCCTGATTTAAACAGAGCATACTCGTCCTTCCACTCCTCATTCCTCATTATAGTTTTACAGGAGTGAGTAGCCAGGGTGAGAGCTAGTCCAGCTAAGACTAGATATCGACATACTCCACCTTTACGAAATATTTTATCACACCCAAAGGCCACGAGTAGACAGAACCCCATCGAGGGCAGGTACAATACTCTCTCGGCTACAACAAACCCTACTGGAAAGAATAGGTTTGAAGCAGGGATAAAGGGTAAAACAAGGAGTCCCAATCCAGTTAATATCACAGACGCTTCGTGGGTTGGGTTGCAACTGAACCCTTTGTAAGCTAGATGTGCTAGTAGAGCGTAAAGTAAAATTGTGGCAAGGTTTCTGGGATCACTAACAGATGTCACTAGTGGTACTGTGTTCATTGTCCAATCACAACAGAGATCAGCAGGGGCTAAGAGTAACCAGGAGTTGACCGTAAGCAAGTAGTTGTGTGTCAGCTGACGGGTTGGAGTTTCTGCAACCGCAGCAGGATTGTCAAACTTGGTGAAAACTGGAAGCTGAGAGCCCATTATCTTTAGACGTCCGATCATAAGACAGATTCCGGCTAGAACAAGAATTGATAGTCTCTGAGCAGAGAGTTTAACCCAGGGAGGAAGTCCAACTTTACCCCCAGCAAAGATTTGACTAAACACAACAAGATCTGTGTGAGACAGTTTCTGCTCCACGAAAACCTCGTGAAGTGCGCAGAGCGCTATCACAGTAATTCCTTGCTCCTTACACATCATTGACAGTGTAACCAGGAGAGAAATCCACATCAATCCTTTCCATTCAACAGTTCTTCTCCAGGATAGATCCTTGTACTTGAGAAGAGCGGAGAGAAAGAAAAGCGATGCTAGAAGCTCTGCTCTGCCCACTACTCCAGACACTGCTTCAGTGTGAACAGGATGAACAGCGAAGAGAAGAGCAGCAACAGCTGCTCCAGGTCTTGAAAGAAGCGATGAACAAAGACTATGATACATCAAGGTTACAGCAGCATGCAGGAGAATATTTACCAGATGATAACCTAGTGGATCCAGTTCATGAACTAGATAGTTCAATCTGAAGGTGAGAACAGTAATCGGTCTGTAGGATTTATGACTTTGCTCCTTGTTCATCGGAGTTCCCCAGAAATCGTTCTTGAATATGTTCTGGATTGGAACATGAGGTCTCAGGTCCCTGAAAAGATTGAAAATATTAGAAAATGCGACAAATTTATCGAGAAACTAAATTTAATCTTCTCAACCCATCTTAATGCATTTTATGGACCCAGATAAATGTATGCACTGGGTTGGGTTGAGCTTGAAGACGAAGGATCCAGGTATATATCAGAATAGACGGGTGACAAAGTGTTGACAAAAACGTCCCGGAATTATTTTCGGGTTGTCAGATTTATCAGAGTTCGAATTCTCTCCTTCTAACTAAGCCAGTTTTCGTTTGATACAAAACATTGAAAGATAAAAAAATTAAAGTTTCCAATCCTCACGTTTTCCAATTTATCCATCCCACTTCATAATCCTGCCGTTTACCGATTTATTCATCCCACTTCATAATCCTGCCGTTTACCGATTTATTCATCCCACTTCCAAATCCTCCCGTTAACAAATCCATTCCTCCCACTTCCAATCCTCCCAGTTACCGATCCATCCCTCCCACTTTTCAATCCTCCCGTTTACCGATCCATCCCTCCCACTTTCCAATCCTCCCGTTAACCGATCCATCCCTTTCACTTCCCAATCCTCCCTTTTACTCATCCATCCCTCCCACTTCCCACTCCTCCCGTTAACCGATCCATCCCTTTCACTTCCCAATCCTCCCTTTTACTGATCCATCCATTCCACTTCCCAAACCTCCCGTTTACCGATCCATCCATTCCACTTCCCAATCCTCCCGTTTACCGATCCTTTCTTGTGATCATGACAAATTCTTCTGAATCCTGAATTCTATGCTATAAAGGTAAGAACTTAGTTTAAGATGTTGAAGCAGAGTTACCCCACACTTGACGGATTGACAGAGAACGGTTTTTGCTCCTGTTCAAGTATAAGAATATTTGGTGAACCCTGAAGGGTTGTCAAACTTTTCCCAATCACCTGTTCCACACCTCCGCTCAGATCTTTAATCCGACCCAACCAACCTTTTTATAATATCAGGAACGGAGATTAAAATAAGCCCTGGGGAAGGGAGAGGTGAGGTGTATGTTTGTATAAAAGAGTTTTTCCTCTTCTTCATAAAATTTAAACTGAAACTTTTTTGTTGCGTCGTAATATACAATATACATCCTCTGGCAGTTAAAAATAACTTGAGTATTGACAGGAAAAAGAGAAGAGAGCACTTTTTCAAAATATTATTTTATTACGTTTTCGAATATTTGTAAATTTAAAAGTTAGCTTGAAGTGAAGTAGCATTTTTAAAATATTGATAAAATATTTATTTTTTAAAAATCCAGGTGGGTTTCAGGATACAAGTATCCAGGTGGGGTATATAGGATACATGTATCCAAGTGAAGTATACAGGATACATGTATCCTGGTGTAGTATATAGGATACATGTATCCAGGTGGAGTATATAGGATACATGTATCCAGGTTGGGTATACAGGATACATGTATCTAGGTGGAGTATACAGGATGCATATATCCAGATGGAGTATACAGGATATATGTATCCAGGTGGAGTATATAGGATATATTTATCCAGGTGGAGTATACAGGATATATGTATCCAGGTGGGGTATACAGGATACATGTATCCAGGTGGGGTATACAGGATACATGTATCTAGTGGAGTATACAGGATGCATTTATCCAGATGGATGGGATACTTCTGGATATAAATGCTACATGCATCCTAGTGGAGTTTATAAAATACTGTAGAGTATCCATGCTTAAGAAGGATGAATTTATTATGTATCCTAGAATACTAGATCTCAATTATAGATAGAGGATGAATTAGCACGAAATCAGGAAATTTAACGCTTTCTTTGAAATTAAAAATTCGAGATAGTCTCACAGTTCTTGAAGTAACCTAATTATTCTTTATGCCTACATGGTCAACTGGGTATTTGCCCGAATGCCCGATCAGTTTATTGATGGTTTACCTATTGTCTCTTATCGCACTCATATCATCAAACACAAACCCACACTGTAGAGAGTTCCAGTACAGGCTTATACACACTAAAATAGAAATAGTTATATAATGATAGTAGATACCAGATACAGTCTTTATTCAAATATTTCCTTCTTAGAGTATTTGTGAAGACATGTGAAGGACAGATATAGGGGATACACCTGATACAGGAGATTTAATTGATACAGTGGATATAGCCAATACAACGGATATGACTGATACAGGGGATATAGCTGATACAGGGGATTTAACTGATACAGGGAACATAACTGGTACAGGAGTTAGGGCTGATACAGTGGACATAACTGATACACTGGGAATTAAACGGATACAGACAAGAAAATGAACAGGGAATAAATGAACAAGGTCTATAACGGATAAAGACAATAAAATGAACATTGAACAGGAAGTTAAACGGATACAGTGAATAAAATGAACAGGAAGTTAAACGGATTAAGTGAATAAAATGAACAGGGAATCAGAAAGATACAGGGAATAAAATTAACAGGGAATTAGAAGGATACAGGGAATAAAATGAACAGGGAATCAGAAGGATACAGGGAATAAAATGAACGGAAATCAGAAGAAATACAAGGAATAAAATGAACAAGGAATCAGAAGGATACACGGAATAAAATGAACAGGGAATTAGAAGGATACACGGAATAAAATGAACAGGGAATCAGAAGGAATGCAAGGAATAAAATGAACAGGGAATGAGAAGGATACAGGGAATAAAATGAACAGGGAATGAGAAGGATACACGGAATAAAATGAACAGGGAATTAGAAGGATACAGGGAATAAAATGAACAGGGAATTAGAAGGATACAGGGAATAAAATGAACAGGAAATCAGAAAAAAAACAGGGAAAAAAATGAACAGGGAATCAGAAGGATACAGGGAATAAAATCAAGAGGGAATCAGAAGGATACAAGGAATAAAATGAACAGGGAATCAGAAGAATACAGGGTGCAGAAAGAATTAAAGATACAGGGGAATATAAATCTACAAAGATACCATTGTATATAACAGATATACAGGAGATTTGAGTTTAAGATTATATAATGTTTGGTTAGATATACAGCGAAGAGAATAAGTGTAGGCGGCAGTATTCCCCCCAGTTCCAAGTATTTCTCTTTTAAATATTTTTCCTTCTGAATATTCCAGGTTGCCTTAATTTTAATCCAACTCAACTCTTTAGATCTTTTATGTGTAATAGAGGATTAATTTTATATTCTGTACATACAGCACTTCATTTCTATTCATAAACACAGTCTCCAACCTAATCTCAAACCTTCTCCTCAACCTACTCTAATTCCTATCTCCAACCTACTTTAGAACCTTCTTTCCAACCTTCTCTCCAACCTACTTTTCAACCTATTCTCCAACCTTCTCTCCAACCTACTCTCCAACATACTATCCAACCTACTCTCCATCCTACTCTTCCTCCTACGCTCCAACCTATTCTCCAACCTACTCTCCATCCTACTTTCTATCCTGCACTCCAACCTTTTCTATATCCTACTCTCAAACTTTCTCTTCAACCTACTCCCCATCCTACTCCCCAACCTTCTCCCCAACCTTCTCCCCAACCCTACTCTCCAACATACTATCCAACCTACTCTCCATCCTACTCTCCCTCTTACGCTCCAACCTATTCTCCAACCTACTCTCCATCCTACTTTCTATCCTGCACTCCAAACTTCTCTCTATCCTACTCTCCAACTTACTCATCAACCTACTCTCCAACCTACTCTCTATCCTACTCTCCAACCTACTTTCCAACCTACTCTCCAACCTACTCTCTATCCTACTCTCCAACCAATTCTCCAACATACTCTCCAACCTAATCTCCAATCTACTCTCAAGTCTACTCTCCATTCTACTCTCCAATCTGGTTAAAAACCTAATCCGCAACCTACTCTGCAACTTTTAATGTAAAAGTCGATGTTAAAAATGATATATTGAGTCTCAAACTAATTTGATAAAAAATCTCTGTTCAGGTTCAATATATTTTCCTGTCTTCCATCCTAACCCAAACAGATTTAGCAGGCCTGGGATCTTGTAGCATATTTTGAGATCCTAGATCCTATCCTTTCCATCAACCCATACCATACTTCTTCCACATTTTATACCCTTAGACTTTGTCGAACCCTGACTGTTCTCATGAAATTACTTGGTTTAAATTAAATGACTTTTCTTACTTGCAAATCCTGGTTATGTGTCGGAATGTAGAATTTCAGTTTATATTTCACAAAGCAGAGAGATGAGAGGAGAAGAGCTTTAGTATGGTGCTATAGGCTGGTTGGATTAGTTTCCGAGATTCAAATACACAGGGAAATAAGAGAAAATAGAAAATTTAATACCCCTCTCCATACCCTCACTTTATAACCCGGTTTCCTGGTATATAGCAAAGTTTCCCCTCCTATATGTTTAGTGTATACGTGATGTCCTTTTCAGCCTTTTGTTGCATACAATGTTTTATGTCTGACATATATTGTATGTGGAGAGGAAGGAATTCAAGATATTTTTAATTTGTTAAACCTAGAGCTGGAGGTACTTGTATACTCTAACAGAAGATGAGTCTATAAATTCTATAAGTTCTATTATTTCTATAGTTCTATAAGTTCTATGGTTCTATAAGTTCTATAAGTTCTATTATTTCTATAAGTTCTATAAGGGTGTATGAAGAAAGTTTTATAGACTGTGTGTATGAAGACCCTGTAGTGTACTGGGTGTATGAAGACCCTGTAGTGTACTGTGTGTATGAAGACCCTGTAGAGAAAGGACGGAAAGAAGGAAGATAGACTGTAAAGGTAGAAAGATTGGGAGAACGAAAGGAAAGAAATAGGAGGGCAAGGAGGGGTAGGAAAGGAAAGAGAGTAATGGGGTAAAGTGAAAGGAAAATAAAAAATAAGGGCGGGGAGGGATAGGACAGGAGTGAACGAGAACGGATAGGAGGGATAGGAAAGAAAAAGAACGAGAAGGGATCTGAAGAGAGAGAAAAAGGAGGGCGGAAAGCGAGGAGGACGAGAAGGAAAAGAAGAGAAGTAAATAGAGGGTTAAGGAAAGAAAATGAGGAAAATAGGAGGACAAGGAGGGAAAAGGAAATGAGAGAAAGATAAAGACAAGGAGTAAATAGAAATAGAGAAAGGTAAAGACAAGGAGTAAAAGAAATTGAGAGAAAGGTAAAGACAGGGAGTAAAAGAAAAGTAGAGAAAGATAAAGAAATGAGTAAAAGAAAAGTAGAGAAAGGTAAAGACAAGGAGTAAAAGAAAAGTAGAGAAAGGTAAAGACATGAAGTAAAAGAAAATGAGAAAAGGTAAGGAGAAGAAGGAAAAGGAAATGAGAGTGAGGAGTGAAGAGTTTGTAAGGAGGAGAATCTTCAAGTATTCTCTACTGAGAAACTATCAAGTTATAAACAGTAGTTTATACAGTTTAATATAGTTATCTCTACTTTACCAAAATCAAGGAAATTTGAAATTTCAGTAAACTAGATCGGTAAGAACTAAAACTTGTGTTTAAGAAGGGAAATCTTCTTTTTTCATTCAAAAAGTTTTAGACTCACATTAATGATTAGTGTTTAAAGGAAGATGATTCTTGAACATGGGATCGATTTTTTGTAGATAGAAAGCATGGTGGAGTATATATGGATAGACAGGATGGTGGAGTATATGTAGATGGACAGGATGGTGGAGTATATATGGATGGACAGGATGGTGGAGTATATATGGATGGACAGGATGGTGGAGTATATATGGATGGACAGGATGGTCTAGTATTTATGGATGGATTATGATAGAACGATATCTTGCTTCTTTATTTTGGTGCATTAAACCAATATTCATATATTATCCAACCATATTACAAGCTGAGCATACAACTGATGGATAGATAGATAGATAAATAGATAGATATTCACATGAATGAATGTATCAATATATGAAAGCAATGAATGTAACACTGTACATTACATTAATGTAAAAATTAAGGAAGGGATAAATTGGCAGAATAAAGAAGATATTTAAATGAAAGGATGAATAAATAAAAAACTGTACTTGAAGATAAATGATTAAAGAGATATAAGTAGATGATATTAAATAAGTTAATATTATTAATTTAATAAATTAATAAATAGATAAATGATAACAGCTGAATAGATGAATAGGATTAGTAGTTTAAGTTGTAGAAAATTATAAAGAAAATATTAAGACCATGAATAAGAATGGGAATAAAAGTAAATTCATTAGTTCATCCATTTGCACAATATTAATCTATTAGCCAGCAGGGAACGGGGATATTACCTAATATAATAAAGGTTTGGAGGACGCCGCTGTTCCCGCCGCTCCCGCCCCCTGACCCTCCTCTTCCTCCTCCTCCTCCTCCTTCTCCTAGCCCAGGCTTTTCCATACTCAAGAGTGCGCGACCATTGTTTGAAGGTAAGGGTGTTTATCCTACCCAGATGTGGTTCGAACCATATCCGTCCCTGCTCCGCATGCCGCCAACAACCTGAAACATACATAATAATAGACATTAGGCAGAGAAATTACTGGTTTCTTGTAGAACAGGCGTGTTTAGTTACTAGAAGGCGGGGCATACACTTATAGGATACACGCTACCTTCTCCGCTATTCATCTTTATTAGATACAGAGGATATAGGATACACGCTACCTTCTCCGTTATTCATCTTTATTAGATACAAAGGATATATGATACACGCTACCTTCTCCGTTCTTCATCTTACACTGACCTGTATCTTATCAGACATGAAGGAAATTGAATGCATTTGATAAATACCAAAGGTTTTGATACGACAAAACCTGGGGTTGACATCAATAATTGAAATGACAAGAACTTTATGAATGATTGAATCCCCCCTCCTCCAGCTTTTCTCAAATGCAGTCGCAGTCATATCTATATAATGAAGCTCTTCGCTCATTTATACTTGTTTGTATATATGTTAGCTATAGCTGGCTAAACGAATGGACAGAATGGGCTGAATTTTTGAATTTTTGAGGGTACCCATGGATAACAAATTTCGATTTTTTTTAAATCGAATTTTTTTCAAAATTCAATTTTTTTCAGGGACAACACCGGGCACTGCCGCTAGTATTTAATAATACAAATAAAATGTATACTATTATGTATCCTGTATATGATCATATTAATATATTCTATCAGATTTTCTAAATGAAATTCAGAATTCATAATTCATAATGAAATCAGAGTTATTATTCCATTGTATTGAAGCATGGCCAGTATCCAGGAATAATACGAAAACTATCAATATCAAATCAAATGAATGTTTCACACTAAACAACTTTCGGTTAAGGAACAGAAACATGTTTTTGAAAAAGGGTGTCAGGATTTTCAAGAACTGCAGTTTTTTAAAGTTTGAATAATCTGGAAGACCCTGTAGTGTACTGTGTGTTTGAAGACCCTGTAGTGTACTGTGTGTATAAAAACCATGTAGTGTACTAGGTGTACATATGAAGACCATGTAGTGTACTGGGTGTATGAAGACCCTGTAGTGTACTGTGTGTATGAAGACCCTGTAGTGTACTGGGTGTATGAAGACCATGTTGAGAGGTTGGATGGGATTGGGTTAGAATTTAATTCTAAACCTGAAGGCTGAGAATAAAACATGGATTTAGGTATTTTAGCAATTAATATAGAGACAGCACACTTCCTTTACCCAACCCTTCCTGTCAATCATGGGTAGATAGATAGATACATAGATAGATAGATAGATAGAAAAATAGATAGATAGATAAATAGAGAGATAGATGAATAGATAGATGGATATATAGATAGATATAATGCTATGAGAAAATTATCCAAATCATTAAACAGGTCGTATTTTATAAATATATAAAAAATATAAAATATAAGCTCTAATTTTATAAATTGGTTTTTATTTAAAATGATTGAAATATTTGTTGTGAAAGTGTTTATTTTTCCTAATGTAGCGTTTAAAAAATGCAACATAAAATGCTATAAATCCTAAATAAGAGTATCAAGCCCAATTGTTGTATGCAAACCAGTGCATTTTGCAAACTTTTTTTCAAAATGGTTTGACATGAAATATTATTACACTTTTAAATTTGATTTTCCCACCATTTCAGATTTAATAAAATCGTTTAGAACAAATCTATATTTTACGATATGTCACTTTCTGAAACTAATATTTCAAAATATTCTGCAGTTTTAGAAATATCAATTCTGTTTTCATTTTATATGTTTTTAGTTTTCTTTACAGAAAATCGAATTGTTTATATATTTTTATTTTTAATAAAATTTTAATAGGTTTTACATAGTTTTAATCGAATTTAATTGATGAAAAGTTGCAATAGAGTCACCTTCAATACACATATATCATATTGAATATCATATCATACAAGGTGGTTAAGAAAAGAGTAGAAACCCTCTACCTTTGTGTACAGAAAAGTGTACTGTGGTTTCTGGGAGGATTGAATGTAAAAAGAAATTCTAGATCTTATTCAATCCCATGTAGATTGCTCTCGTTTAATTTATTTCCAAACCTAGGAACTACTAGCTTCAATCCAATTCATTTAAAACGAAAAATATCAATCCATCCAACTATATATCCTGCACATCCAACTATGCCCTGTCATCAACAGGTACCCCCCGGATATCCAAATATCCACTGATTAACAGGTAGATACCCCTGGATATCGAAATATCCACTGTCATCAACAGGTAGGTACCCCCCGGATATCCAAATATCCCTTGTCATCAACAGGTAGTTACCCCTAGATATCCAAATATCCCATGTCATCAACAGGTAAGTACTCCTTGATTTCTATATATCCCATGTCATCAACAGGTAAGTACTCCTTGATTTCTATATATCCCCTGTCATCAACAGGTAGATACACCTGAATATCCAAATATCCACTGTTATCAACAGGTAGGTACCCCTGAATAACCAAATATCTACTGTTATCAACAGGTAGGTACTCCTTGATATTCATATATCCCCTGTCCTCAACAGGTAGATACACCAGGATATGCAAATATCCCCTATCATCAACAGGTAGATACTCCTTGATATCCAACTACTCCTGGTATCTATCCAGTAAGTACTACATAATCTCTTTGCAATTCAAGTCAACGACATACAATTATGAAATGTTGAAAAAGTAAAAGTATATTACACTTCGACTGTGACTGTAAAATTTTATTTTAAACAACAACTGATAAAAAAAATTAAAGATATATTTTGTCAAAATAAAAATAATTTTAAAAAGTACGTACATTATAAACTACTCTAAGATCCTCTGGGAGAAGAATCAGCTGATCAGAGATTGAGCTGTGTTCATCCTCCGACCCGGAGCAACATAACACGCAGACTAAACTCTCAGCTCTCTCTCAGACAGAGGCGGTTCAAACTCCGAGGTTATAGAGAGAACCTCTGAGGCTGCTATACCATATATATCCTCTGGATCGGAGTAGAAAAACAGGTTTTAATACACTGTGTAGATGTAATTAAAATTTTGAAATTTTTATTACAAAAAATGTATTTTCTTAGGAAACTATAAATTTCAAATTGGAATGGGGTAATTACGTAAAATTAAGTTGATATTACGCAAACCTAATTAGAGTTATGTTGGAAAAATTATTGATTTTAAAATAATTAGGTTCTGGTGCAGGTTTGTATTATTTATAACTAGGAACCTCCGATATACCTGGAGTAAGGATCTACAGGTTTCTCTCAGAGAGAGGGGTTCTCAAATTCCGATATTCCCTCTTAACCCCCCCCCCCTCCCCATCCTTCCTCCCGTATCATCGCTATATGTTTGTGTGTGCTAAACTTCCCTTGTAGCATAAAATGTACAAATGTTAAATAAGTTTTCAGAAAAGATAAACGGTGGATTTTGCTTTGTATTCCTTCTGTAAGTTTGTGTCCGTAAGTACAAATGTGTGTGTGTGAGTGTGCATCTGAGATCTTGGCAAACATTTCAACAGGTATTCTCAGATACTAGAGACTAGAGACTGTAAGAGAGAGAGATCCATAAACATTCATCAGGTTGCAACTTCTCCTACACAATCTCAACTATACTTGCAACATCCCTCGTAATTGATTCTCATATTTGTTTTATGTCATGCAATCCACTGATCTAGGGCTTTCTAATATATATACTTACTAACAAGTACAATATATATTAATATTACTGCAATAATTAGCCCACTGCTTGATGATTTCTGTGTAGATCCAATGTCTTAGGTATCAATGCCATGGCATATCATGCCTATGTAACCATGTACCGTCATGTACTGCTTTTATATTTTGTGCTGTGTAAGTTACTAAAGTACTTTATGATATTGTTCTGCTTGGCTAGTTACTATTTGGTTAGAAGGAATGCAGACTGTTTATGATTTTTGATGAAGCATTTTATTAAAATATTTATCTCAAATTTTTTATTTAAATTTTGAAAACTTCTTGTATGCATGAATTGGAAATTGGTTTGAATTTCAACCTATTTTCTGAATATCTAAGTTCTAAGTTCTATTGTTCTATAAATTCTATAAGTTCTATTATTTCTATAGTTCTATAAGTTCTATGGTTCTATAAGTTCTATAAGTTCTATTATTTCTATAAGTTCTATAAGTTCTATAAGTTCTATAAGTTCTATAAGTTCTATAAGTTCTATAAGTTCTATAAGTTCTATAAGTTCTATAGTTCTATAAGTTTTATAGCTCTACAAGTTCTATAGTTCTATAAGTTATATAGTTCTATAAAGTTCTATAGATCTATAAGTTCTATAAGTTTTATAGTTCTATAGTTCTATATTTTCTATAAGTTCTATAAGTTCTATTATAAGTTCTATAGTTCTATAGTTCTATAAGTTCTATAAGTTCTATAAGTTATATAAGTTCTGTAAGTTATATAAGCTCTATAGTTCTATAAGTTATATAAGTTATATAAGTTATATAAGTTATATAAGTTATATAAGTTATATAAGTTCTGTAAGTTATATAAGCTCTATAGTTCTATAAGTTCTATAAGTTCTATAAGTTCTATAAGTTCTATAAGTTCTATAAGTTTTATAAGTTCTATAAGTTCTATAAGTTTTATAAGATGTGTAAAATAAGAGTATTGTGTGCGGACAAAGTAATAATATAAATAACCCATATAAAGCGTATCACAAAGTGTATAGACCTAAGGTGAGAGTTATAGGGGCGAATTGTAAACAGAATAAAAATTTTTACCGGGAAGTATCAAGCATTAAAAGCCGGGTTTGTGAAATCATTGTTTTTTAAAAGCTGTTTATTCACAATAAACCAGTTCTAATCACATAACTCTCACTAGAAGAAGATTGTACCATCCAGTTGTACCGTCTTTAGGCAGTATGTATACTGTACATAACTTGCTCTAGCTGCTTAAAAGTCTGGCCTATACTTCAAATAAAGCAAACCTTATTCCTCTCCTTAGTTCTAGACACATTGGTATAGTGTACCAGGTACCTAAACCACCACGATCCTTGTAATAGAGGACAATTTGTAATAAATACTGTTTACTCCGGTAACCAGTTCCTTCTTATATCCATAAAATTTAGAAATTATGACAAACACTAGGTTTGCAGACCCTGGAGAATATTTTATTTTGCAATTTTTTCCACTAATACTAAGTTTAAATCTCATGACAATCATTTTTTTTAATATTTTTTAGATCCCTGATAACCGCCTCATTCAATTTTTTTAGAAAATAAAAAAATTTACGCGACCCAATAGTGTAAAAACTTGTGTAGGTTATCTATAAATAAAAGTAGGAATCTATATTTGTCTGTGTACGGTCATAATCCCTGATTGATTTACCAACAATTTTAACTGGGGGAACTCGGTAGAACCCCGGGAATGTTCTGAGCTTATTTTACAAATTTTTAATTGAGCGAGTCGACTTTCATAGCCATAGTTTAGTTTCCAGGCAAAGCCGGGTTCCCAAGCTAAAAGTACATATATATATTCTACAAAGAGAGAGAGAGAACTAACAATCATCTGGAAAAAATGATATTGATCTGTGTAAGTTGGTTCTATTCGAATAATATTTTACCATCAGAGCTGTCAAACGTTATATAAAACATTTCTACATTATTATTATTATATCTCAACTTGATACATAGACAATCAAGGGAGTACCATTAAAAATGGGAATTCAATCACGGTTTTCCAAAAGAAAAATTCAAACGATTGGAACTTCAAAATCACAATAAAATCTTTACAAGTTCAAATACCCGTGAATGTACGTTATTATAAAAAATTTGACAATGCTATACAAAAGGTACAGAGAAGATATAGATAATTTATATTACACTAGACAGCAAATACACTAGATGGGACAGCAAATAGAATCATCTAACAATACACTAGATGGGACAGCAAATAGAATCATCTAACAATACACTAGATGGGACAGCATGATAGAAATAACAGAAGATGGCGGGGAGGGGTTAAAGTTAGTTTTTCCAATTTCTGATCTACAGAATAAATCTCCCGAAAATCACAAAATCTACAAAACCCTCACCCCCTCCCACCCCGCACAATGTTACCCGTTCAAACCATACCTATATGTGAAAGGGGGAAATTGTTTGAAGACGTAAATTCGGCGAAAATTTATTTTGAAGCGAGGTTTAGATTGAACCGACCAAATTCCCCCTCTGCAATTTAGGCTGGATGAAAATAGATGATCACAATGTAAACTGAATAAAAGCTAGAAATTATGGTTTAGATGAACTCCAGGCCCGTAACTACAGCGGTGGGAGCGGTGGGGTGCACACGTTGTATGGTGTCCATATTTTCCAATGATTATTGGTTTATACTGTTCTTAAAAATTGAAGTAAAAAAAGATTCTCTCCTGCGGCGGCGCACACTTTGAAATCACTACTCAATCACTTTTTAAAAATCCTAATAACGGGTTCGATAGAATCTATTTACAGCTATGAATGACAGAACAAACGATATGTTTAAAGCTGGAAATGAAGAATTGAATGTTAAAAAGAATGATTACAGACTGTATGATTAATGAATATATAATTACTGATTGTTAGATAAATTATGGAAATGATTATCAAGTATAAAGATAAACTTTAATTGTGTGAATTAAAGCTAAGATAAAGCAAATGAATGGAAAGAACCTAGTGAAGTTTAGGTTCAAGATGCTGTATCTAAAGTTTCATGTGTATCTGGTGTTTGTTATTTTGTGGCCTGGGGCCTGAGAGACTGGTGGAGCAAGGTTTGGATATCTTTAAATCATATTTAGAGATTATAAGAGTAGATTCATTCCCTTTACTTCCATCCTTCATCTCATCCTTTTTTCTTCCTTCATACTCATCCCACATCCTCATCCTTATAATCCTTCATCATTATCCTTCATCATCATCCTTCTTTTCCATCATACTCATCCTACTATCCCTCCTTCTCATCCTTGTTCTATCCTTCATACTCTTCCTCCTTCTATGCTTTATACTCATCCTTCGTCCGCCATTCATACTCATCCTCCTTCCATCATTCATACTCATTCTTCATCTTTATCCTTCTAATACTTCGTCTTCATCCTTTTTATCCTTCATACTCATTCTTTATCCCCATCCTTTTTATCCTTCATACTCATTGTTTATCCCCATCCTTCTTATCTTTCATACTCATCCTTCTCATCCTTCATACTCATCCTTCTTTGCAAACTTCATACACATACTTCTTCCTTCCTTAATACTCGTCTTCCATCCTTCTTTAATTATTTTTAACACATTATCGCATTTCTCTCTTGAAAGCTATTCCTTGATCATTATGATTCTTTTTTCATGTGTTCTACTATTATCCATCCTACTAATCTACTAATTAGTCCTCCTAATTCTTGAGATAATCATAAACCAGATTTCTCTTCATATCTTGAATGTAGTTCAGAAAGGGATTTACTTTAATTAAAAAAATTTAATGAAAGGAGAAAGAGTTTCCTTCCTTCTTGTTTTATAAAACAATCAAATATTCCTTTGCATTCCGCCCACTCTCCCTCTAGTTGTTAAATTCTTTTCTACTTTTATCAAATACACATATATACAGCTCCCTAAGCTCAAACCTAATGTAATCCTTTGGATGCTTGGTATTGGAGTAAATGTATTTTTGTGGAACCCAGCCTAGGATCCAGGTCCCAGGAGACACAGGGATACAGTGCAGATACAACCAGAGATAAAACCTTAGATGCATAGATACTTAGATAGTGAGGTAGATAGGTAGATATACAATATTCAGCCAGAATTAGGTATTACATTCGACTCTAGGGATATATATGTATATATTTATAGGTGTATAATGTATATAATATTCATATTTATATACATTGGTATTTTCACAAAAAGTAGAAGTAAATTACTTGAGGAATATATGTGTTTAATATATATATTTAATATTTA